CAACTAACAAATGGACACTGCCATGAGTTGGGGGATTGAAGACTACTCAGAGTCCAAAGAATGGCACTTCTCAGAGTCTACGAAAGGTAAGGGGGGATGGTTTTTTTTCTGTATTCTAAGTGGTGCAATCCCAACGGTTGATGGTTAAATGGAATTTTACTAACCATTAAACATATGGGTGTGTCTGAAAATGTCGTGTACCCCTAAACCCAATGGTTAATGATCATTATCCCGTTTTTAAATGGCTATTTGTTTGGGAATATAGCCTATTTTCAGACAAACCCATATTCAAAAATCACAGTGTTCCATGATTTTCCCATTGGAACCCCTGTGAAAAAAATCCTCTACACAGGCCGTGAAAAAGGTTAACAGACCCACACCCCCAAGCGCAAGCGAGTCGCGGCCGTGGCTGCACCCAAGATCACCTTCGGCGCATGGTCGAAGTCCTGCACTATAAACACCTTAGTCGATGTGGACGGACTTATATAGGGCCCCAAAAGATTCAGAAAACTGTTAGTGACTGCAATTTCTGCCAATTAATTTAATTAATTAATTAATTAATTATTGTTACTATGTTGTTGATGGTGATGATGGTGATGATGATGATTATCTTATTATGATGATGATCATGATGATATGATGATGGGCTTTGTTCTTTTATATTGTTTAGGGCCCTACCCCTGCAGTGGACGAAGATTCTATGATTCTGCGTGCCAAAGTTCTGGGCCTTTATGCCTGTGCAGTTGCGGCTAAGTGGCATTCAAGAAATTCTCGATGAGAGCCACCAAGACACCATAGATCAAGAGGTTGGTAAGCATCCACATCGGCTCAAATTTCAACAGCGTTTGCAACCATTGCCTCAAGGATACCTGCAAAATACTGGACAAGTTCTGATTGAGAGCGGATGCAAATCTTTGAAAAAATACCATTCTGACAAAATTGCCCAAGTACATCCCACTCTCTCCACTTTCTCCCAAAATCTTGCAGCTCAACTCCCATGGCTCGGCTCCCGCCTGAGGTCTCTTCGTTACAGGCCCGTGATCGTCACTATCGTGGATGAAGAGTTGGATCACCAGGACATTCAGGCCCACGAGGATGGCGTAGCAAAAGAAGATGCACTTCGTGCCGTAAATGTCCTGCGTCAGCTTCTGCAGGTGCAAATTCGAAGAGTCTGAAGCTGGAAATCTTGGTCAAACGAAAGGGATCAGAGTGAATCTTGAAACAGGGCAATGTGAAAACTGGAGGGGGTGGGAATAAGTGAAACATGTCTGTCTATATACATAAATATATATATATATATATGTATACATATAATATATATATATATAAATATATATATTATATATATATATATATCCGCCGTATATACATAATATATATATACACTATATATATACCCTATGCTTCCTCGACCATATCTGGTATAGCCTCGAACATACCAGGATAACACCTCGGACATACCAGGAAGCCACGAACGACTATACCGGGAGTGGCCTAAGGGTTATACCAGGATATACCAGGATACTGGCCCAAGGAATAATAATAGGATATGCTAAGACCCCTTTGGATTGTCCACAAATGCCCAGCAGAAAAACAACGATGTAGATTTTTCTTGGAAAAGAGCATGCGCTCGGGAGTTTGAGTCAGGATATCAGAACCATTCAGAGAATTTCAGCAAGAAAAAAGATGGCATGTTGAAATCACAGGGAAACGAGGACAACCCCAGGACAACTCGTGGAACGCCAATGCTGGGACGTGGAACGCCTATACCGGGACATGGACTGACTCGGGGATCACAAAAAAAATCTGAAATCGTTTTTGTTTTTTTGTTGATGGCTGTTTGTTTTGACTTTTGGCGGTTTGTTTGTGCCCAGCTTCAATGAGCAAACACGAGGTCGGGTTCGCGCACACAAATGAAATAGCTTGCAAAAAACAATCTAGATTGTGCAGGGGATGGTTCACAGCCTATACGTATGGCCTCAAGGGGCTTAGCGCCTATACCGGGAAACCATAAACGCTTATACAGGGATTTCATGAAAGCCTATACTGGGAAAACTGCTCGCCTATACCAGGAAAACATCCTGGTATAGCCTCCAAAACCCCGGTATAGGCTAGCACGTAACGACTATACCAGATATGTCCTTTGGAAGCATAGGGTATATATATATATATATTTGCATAATTGTTCATAAATATGCATATTTGTCAAAAAAAAACCTTCATGACTGTACAGGCATTCTATATTCACGTCCCCACATCAACACTGCTTTTTCGCGGGTCCACCAGCTTTCCAGCCACCAAAGCCATAGCGCCCCAACCCACAGCACTCCACAAGCGCTGATCGCCATATGCCTCCTGAAGCTGGGGACATCGCCATTTCCAAACGTCAACTAACCTAGCAAGCACACAACATCACACTTATGTATGTATATGTGTATATGAACAACTTAGATATAGTGTATATGTATACTAACCAAACATCACACAACTAAACTATAGTAATATGTAAATGTGTCTTCGATACACTTAGATATCTATCTGTCAGTTTATGCATTCAAATCTATCGAGATCTATTACGCAAATAGTGTAGATCCATGTCTCTCTACCCATCGCCATCCATGTATGTAAAATACTTATGTAGATGCTATGATTTAGTGTATGTATATATATATGTGTGTGTTGTTAAATAAATATAAATATATAAATATAAATGTAAATGTAAATATAATTATATTATATGTATCTATACTACCTATGTATTTATACAATTTTATACATCTAAACATCATACAGCGTGCAATTACAGCTAGAGTGCCTTTGATGCTGTGCCTTTGATTCTCACTTGGCCCTTCCGGTGTCGGGATCCTTTGACACTTTTTGCTCAGAGAGCACCTTCAGGCAGAGGCCATCGACAATGGGGCCAGCTGGAGCAGTGAAGAACCTAGGCTTTCTGTACATCTCTCAAAAAAGGATTGGTTTAAGGGACATGTTACAGGAAAACCATGGAAAACCCCTAATATTTCATGGGAGCATCGATGGTTTCCGGTTAAGATTTTCCCAAGAAAACCACTCCATTCAATCTCTGATCGCCTCTTGCAGACATGTCATGGAAGGATTTGCTGCTGACAACTCACAATCTCTCGCCATCGCCACCGAGGTGGGACAACCAACAATATCTAACACTATTTTTCTTCAACAGAAACTACACTTGATCCCCAATGATAGCGTTGGGGAGATACACTCATTCAATGACATTTCCAAAAAATGGAGGGCTGTAGCCCAGGCGACCCGTGCAGCAAGGTGATAAGCACCAAGAGGGGCAAGCCTTGGCTGAAAACGCTGCTGTTTATTGGGTTAAGACCTGGAATTCCTGGTCCCAAATGGCAAAACCCAATGGGTTTGTCTCACAGCATAGCCCTAAAGCCAATGGTGAATCATCATTTTCCAATCAAATGGCTATAATTATCTATAATTGGAGGTATATACCTCATTTCCGAACACACCCAAATGATGATTCTTCCCGGAAACAAGTTCATGCACGAACTTATTACTATTGACCCATCCCCATATCATCAAACAGCGGAGAAACTGGTTGCAGCCTGCGGCAATAAATATCCAAAGATTGTTGTGACACCCAGCAGGCTTGTGGTTGTAAGGACTCCTCGATAGGAGCCGGTGCGATCCACAATCACTGACCAGAATAAGCCCCCAAGGAACGACATGGTGGGCATCAAAACCAAAAGGATGCCCATCAGCTTTCGACTCAAGCCCAGATCCTTAGAAAGTTTTTTTCCCAAAGCAAAGAAAAAATCAATTTTACAGGGTGCCAGGAGGTAGGGTGGAACAACTTGCCCAATTTTACACTGATTTCGAGGAACATCATGAGAACGGCAGGTGAGATTACGCAAGCTAAGTCGATATGTTGCCAAGGATCATGATAGTACACTGTGATAAATCGGATCAAGCACACATTTGCTGCAAACAACAGCATTTGGGTGACTTTCAGGGTCCACAAAGGTGTGCGATTTGTTGGCTTTGCAACATCTGTCCTTGGCTTGTGATCAACCAAGCGGCTCGTCTGACTGTACATGGGAGAGGCTGTACAAAAAGCAAACTATGTGACATGATGCGACATTTTTTTTGGAAACCTAACCACGGAACATATAACTATAGGAATTGGATTCTTCAATTCAAAGATTCAAAATCAGATTTGAGACAAAGAAAATTGCGTGAAATATCAGCAAAATAACTGGACACTAACTAAACCATCCTGCAATGTGCATGAGTTTTGGTTATGTTCTCAAACCCAGTGAGCCAACAGACGTTTCAGGACGAGAACTCAAGGCCTTTTTCGGCTTGACAGTGTTAGGGAAATCGTTAGCAAATTTCCGATTGGTCCAAACAGGTTACCTGTATTTATCTCAAGCTGAATGTACAGGGAACTTGAGAGCAGGCGGAGGCGGACGAAAGGTAGTGTAGTGGGAGAGGAGTGGTGTCAAAATGCTGCGCCCCTAAGATGATACACCAAAAAACGTTTTTGCGCAGTCTAAGATGATTTTATCCAGAGCATGACTGCATGATACGGTGTCTTGTGCAGCGTGAAATGATGCACGAAAAGGGGTTTATTTAAACCCCCTTTTTAAGACCCCTTGCAGCAACTGTTATTGAGGCTGAAGCATACCAATTATGCTGGACTACAGGGACATCTCCCTCATGGAAAGTGTGCCTCTAATGTGGGAGCCCGTGACCGCGTCACCCGTGGGAATTGAACCCATGACCATTTTCGGGGGGGGGGGGGGCCCCCCCCCTTATAATTGATATCCAATACATAACGGCGAGAATTCCTTGAATTCCGTGGGCTGGCCCCCTAAGCTTGTGCTGAAGCACGGAGAACTCAGGTAGCTGACGCTACCTTTCGTGACATGATGACCTTTGTTCAATTGACAAAGCATTGGAGCTGCGGAATGCCCCTTGTCTTGGTCAATCTTCAATTCAAACCCAGGGACTTTAATCTTAATAATTATATATTTATATATATTATGTATATTATATATGTATATATATATACCGTTAAAATGAAAGTTAGAAAGCCTCCGCGAATTCCAAATATTCCTCCCCCTCAGTTAGAATGCGGCACGCGCACGGCAAAAAATCATTCAGTTAGAATGCCTCCCCACCCGGGTTTTAAGTTTTTTGTTGTTTTCGGAAAACTCTTTGCACAAATCCCTCACTTAGAATGCCTACGCACTATGAATATCATTAGATGTTAGAATGCAGTTAGAATGCTTCCCCCTTGAAATTGCTTTCTACCAGCATTTCAGCAATTAGAACGCTTTCCCCTTGAAATTGCTTTGCCAGCATTTCAGCAGTTAGAATGCTTCCCCCTTGAAATTGCTTTTTACCAGCATTTCATCACTTAGAATGCTTCCCCCTTGAAATTGCTTTTGCCAGCATTTCAGCAGTTAGAATGCGTCCCCCTTGAATGGCTTTTTACCAGTTAGAATGCTTCCCCCTTGAAATCGTTTTTCATGTTTCTAATAGTTTCTAATGTATCTATATTCTTTTCATTTACAAGAACTATTTCAGACATTTCCCAATTTCGGGACCCATCAAGCCACAACTTGCCCCCCCTTGGCTCCAGCTGCTCCGCCACCGTAGATGTCCTCCGTCGTGTCCGGCAACGGCGAGCGGGTCCACCGGCCACGGCGACGCTGTGAGCTCTGCGAGGAGGGAGCGCCTGAGCCTCGAGGCCCCATAGAAATGAGATTGAATGAATATTTAGATCATTTTTTTTAGATATCATATGATATTATTGTTGTTGCCCAAAAAATTTAACTATGAGTCAATACATATCATGTAGATTCATGTAGAACTATAATGAACTATATAATTTTGAATTATATTAAATTATAGCATTCTACCATGCTGCAATATGTCTGCATGCAAAAAAAACCCTTGATGCAAGCAGCAAAGGCAGAGTTTAAACTGATGGCAGGTGGTGCTTGTACACAGGCCAAGCTGAAGCATAGAGCCAAACATCCATATGCCACTGCACGTTGCACAGCTGCCATCTATGGACTGTCTGTATTGCTTCAGGGTGCTGCCCTGCAGCACTGCAAGTTGGCTACTTTCGAGCCATGGCTGACTGCTTGGCTTGAAAATGGACGGACCATGACGGTGGGATTTCATCGTTTCCATGTTTCCGAACCTGTCATACGCATGAGATCTGCAATGTCTGTGACACTCTCGCTCCTGGAGGTTTCAGTTGTATAGCTGTGGTTATTTAACAGCCCACAAACATCACCATTTCCAATCTGAAAAATTATCTTCCAAACTGACTAACCTTTTGCCTCCATGCTAGTTTTCAGGAGGGCACATCAACATGTGTGGCACTTTTCTTCTACTCCATTTGAACCACATGCACTGCGAAAAGAAAGTCATAGAAAGTCTAAATTTAATTTGCGTGGCAATCTATGGTGTTGTGGAGCCCAACGTGTACATACACCTATGTGCGTATCTCTATAACAAAGATGCCTATATGATCCTATATGTACTCACCAATTCATATTTTATGTATATACCCATATACCCATGTCATCATGAGTCATCACACATTAATCAATGTGTATATATTGTATATTATTACATACTATAATACTATTATATACTGAATTTAGAAGCAACGCATACTATGAAAGGTGTGAATCCATGCCAAACATATATTTCCTAAAAAGATCCAACTCCAACATGAAATTCATGTTGGTCCAACTCTCCTCCAAACCCAGTCCTCTGCCGGGACTTCCTCGTCGCCCTGGCTCAGGGTTGGCAACAAATATTCTCCAAAGTATCCGGCGCTTAAGGGGCCATAAGCTGGGACGGTTTGACAGCGAATGACTACCATGGCAACTCTCACAAAGCAGGAATAATTTCATACATATTTTCTTTTCATGGCATCATTTCATCTCAGAGTTTCACAAAACAAGTAACTCAGTGCCATTCAGTGCCGCTGTGCCGGGTCCTTTCCCAAGAATTCCCAGGAACCAGGGACTAAACTGACTAAACCCATCGACCAAACAGGTCGACCATCTGTCGCCTTGGCTGGTCCGAGGATCCACGTCAAGTCATCCACTTTCCGGAAGCCCTGTAGAAGGGCCGCGTAGCTGGTGGGATCCACCATGCCATAAACAGTCCTACCATTTGGGTAGATATGGATATGATAATATTGGGGATGGTTTAGGGTTTAGGGTTTACCACATTCGTGAAGGTGACTACTCACTACTCTTCCGCAGATGCTTTTTAGTGATCTTGCTTCTGGCATGTTCTGGCCTCCTGGTCTATTTCAGAGAACCTATAGCATAATTAATGATCCTTTGGAGCTGTGAAAGCAGCCAATGCATCCACCGGAAAATGATACAGTTTATAATATTTCGCAGGTCGTCGCTTATTTCGAATAATTTTACCGCTGAAATATTGACGTCGTCTGAATTAGTAAATTATTTTACGTCGGCCTAATACGGCAACAGGACCTGCTTTGATTTCTTGATTTGTTGCATCCTGGGTATGTTCTGTAAAATAAACACCACGCTTTGTGGCAGTCCTAGTTTGAAAAACTAGGAGTTTTTTGGGCTGCAGCCGTAGCTGTCCATAGAAATGTACAGTCCGCTGGTGCGCGCACCCCCTTTGGGCTGACGGTCGGTGATGTGTATATATATATATTCTTGTATGGTGATGAGCTTATTTCTGAGGCTAGGTCGTTATTTCGGGGTGACGTCGGTGACGTCGTTTTAAATTGTTCAAATGAATTTGAGAGCACGGAGGCCACCGCAAGGGTCCTGCATCCTGCATCTTTCCGACTGACCTCTCCCGATTTGCAGGGTATACCCCGGTTGCTTGCCAAGGCTTGCAGCATTTGCTCAGTAGAGCTAGGAAAGAAGTCATTCACGCACACGGTAATCTGCCAAAGGTTGCACTTTCTCAAGAGACACTGGGGCTGCCATTGAAAGTGGCTGCAGGCTGGGAATGCATTGTTCATTGCCGTCAAGGCAGTCCTTGACAGGAAATTTTCCAATTACGCGAGATTGACGCAAAGTTGGCCTCATAGCCCTGCATGGGAGCTGGTTCAACTACAAGCCTCCGGCCTGTCATCTTCATCTCATCATCCAAGCATTCATCATTCATCGTGGAAGCATGCATGGAATGAGATGGCATACTCTGGTCGCCTGAAGTTCCGCTTTGGCAACTGCAAAACTGAGAACTGGTCTGTGTCTAAGACACCACGCGGGTGGTCACCACACGCCTTCATCAGCCCGAATTTTCCAGCCAAGCAGCTGCTACGACTATCAGCAATGAACCCAAGGAAGGCATTGCTTGGGCCACAACCACTGATCACAAACGTTGGACTTAGTCACGAGTTTGGGGTTCCTTAGAATGGGGGATCCCCAAAACCATAGGTTTCAATACTAAAATGGTGTAATTTTGGATGATATTTGACCCCATTTAAATTAGGAAACCCACACTTGGCGAATGACAACTAAACCCAATCAGCAAATCTCTTGCCTTTCTTACTAGCAACGCGTGGTGGATGTCTGCAACCTGAGCAATGCTAATCAGCGAAGTCGGACAAGGTCCAAAAAAAATATCCTAGTGCATATCCTCCGCCATTCCACTTAATGTGATAAAATAAAAAAATGAACAACCTCAAATATTACCAAACATGGTGGGATGGTATATATGCTACAAACCGTCAAAAGTTGGAGATTTATTCTTGGGTTTACCACATTTGCAGAACAAGGTCAACACCAAGGGAAGGGCCAAGGCTTGCTTGGAGGACAGCAACCGCTTGGTTTGCGTCACCACCTTCTTCCTTAGGGATCGGATTGCCACCAAAAGGCACTGCTGAAATCCACTGTTTTAGATAAGCATGTCTTGCATCTAAATTGCCATAAATCGGGGTATACCAATGTTTCAAACCTGCGTAGTATTCTACATATGTATGTAATAATATTTATGATTATTTGGTATATTGTCATACAATGGTGGAATTGTATGGGTCTTGATGGTTGTTGGATGATTCTCTCAGGCCTTTCTGCTGATACATGGGTTTGTTCAAAACTATTGATGCCCAATCTATCCCAATTGTTGGGTGTTCATGTGTTCATGTATGACCAAGACAATTTTCTTGTAGCCTCATTGGTGTCCCATTTGCGGTCGCCATACCTAGTGCAGTCTAGGTATATTATACTATATTATGATATACAACTCATCCTAAAGTCGTGCTGTGCATTAGAAAACAATCATCCGAAAGATGGCGGAACTTGGAATTGGGAACAATCATCCGGGAATGAACGTCTAAGCATCATCAGTCATAAAATAAAGACATTGTATGCACAAACCACCTATTACCGCATCCCCATTATACCACCACATTTAATCTCATTTTCTGAGATCCAACTTTTTGGCAGGGTCAATTATAAAAAAAACACATTAGAATATATTCATTAAATCCACCTTCTATTCGGCTTAAAACACCAATCTTTTTCCATGGGGAACTCTCTCCTGGGCCCCCAACTGGATAGGCCAAGGCACTGGACTTCACTTCCTCGCTTTGGCGCTTCTGAGATCTTCCGCATGAAGCGCTCCAGCAGGTCTTGCGGGAGAACATGGGCCGCCTAACCGGGGCCGTTTCGGCATGGCACCGGAAATGGGGTTAAAGCATGTTGACACGCAAAAAGTAGAAACCTAAAATGGGACTTAGCCGCTTAGCCACTTGAATCACCATTTAAATCAATTTAATTAATGGGTGTCGTCAAGTTTCGGCATGGCATTTGTCGTCAACTTCCGTCCCGTGGCATGCTTCGGCCGCCTGTCCATCCAACGAATCATGAACTTGCTGCCAAACCTTGGCTGCAGCATCTTCTGTGGCGTTTAAGCTCTGTGCCCATTTGCACTTCTTTAAAAGAATCTCTTAGTAATCAAATATCAAGTGTCATATATATATATACGAGTACATATATAATATTATATGTTTTTATATATCATATATGATATATCAAATGCCCTATCATATCACATCATCTTACGTCAATTGGATGTACCATGATGTATATACTATGATCTATACTTAATGCACGTTTCCATCCGACCCAACGTATCAGTCTGAGCCAAAGAGCAGAGCCTTCGAGGCGACTCGTCTGACGGATGGGCTGCCAGTTCACCATCTCAGTGCGGCCGCTGGTCACGAGGCACAGCTCACAGCTACTGAGCTCCGGGCTCGCTCCACTTGCCTTGGACGTTGATGTGCAGTGGATCCATTTGATGATGATTAGAAGTATGATGATCACGCTATTCCAATGTATTTTCTTAATTCTAATATGGGATTGCTGTTTGAGTTTATTAAAAACACTAAATTCATAAATGCACATAGATAAATAAATAAACTAGTTAATAAAACAAATAATAACAACATATAATAACAACAACTAATAATGACAGTGTCATTATGATTATTAACACTATTATTATTAATGATATTTATGCTACTACTACTACTACTACTACTACTACTACTACTACTACTACTACTACTACTACTACTACTACTACTACTACTACTACTTTTACTTTTACTTTTATTATTATCCTGGCTGGATGATGATGATGATGATGATGACGACGACGACGACGATGAGGATGAAGTGAACAACCTTCTCACTTTCCATGCTCATGCCAAGCAGCCATTCCGCAGATATCTCCGGCTTCTGCCATGACGGTGCAGCCGAGGCCTCGATCTGTCGCCGAGGCAGGAGGCGACGACTCGAGGATGCTCTGCTGTGGTCCCCGCCTCTTTGCCTTTCGATTTGCCTTTCACGGGAGCTGGGCCGGCAGGGCCCTTGCCTTTGCCCTTGGTGGCTTTACCTCCTTTCTTCGCCTCCGGAGATGCAGGTGTGAGCTTCGATGAGTTGAACATGCTTGGCCAATCCATGGCCTTGCATAAGAAAGAACATAACCCATGTAACATAACCCAACAACCACGCATAGACACCATCATAACTAAACAAAATGTCAAATATTGATCAGAGGGAAGGAATGGGAAGGAATGGGAAAGGATTGGCGATGATAGCACCACTTTCAGGTTGCACAGTGTGGCACACGCCAACGGCAAAGACCTCACCTCTGGAGCCTCTGGAGCCTCTGGAGCCTCTGGAGCCGCTTTCTGTCCAGACTCCTTCAGTTTACCGGTGCAAGCCATGGCAAGCCCTTTAAAAGCCATGTCTCAGATCACGGTAGCTTCACCCGTCCTCTTCCGCCATTCAAAGGCTTTTCAGGAGTCATAGAACAAACCACCGAAGCGTCAGGATACTGGATTAACTGCATCAGTTGAGACATGTTCAGCTAAGCAAATTGGTTTCCTGAGGTTGGCAATCATCATCCACAAATGAAACCTGGCATAGAATTGCCACAAGCGTTTCTCAGATCAGAAAGCTCTCAACCGATAGAATAAGGTGCAAAGTCTATGCTGTGAGATGTCAACACCCCAAAAGATGTTGGTACAGTACATTATTGTAGTAATTGTGAAATTTCATGTGTCCATTTAGCATCATTATCCACATATAATTGCCAAAGTTTGGCAGCACGCAAGCAGTTCAAACAACTGATGCGGCTTAACAGCTGCGGGCCGAGTTGTAACGTACAGGAGCTGGTCAAATTTCCCAGGGGACTGAACACTTGACATCCATCAAAATCCAATTATATAGCATGGACTAATATTGACTAACCATTATCTACTATTGGGTGTGAATGAATTCCAATAATGAATTACCAGAATTATTGGCTTGACGTATTAACACCTATTCGCATGTTGATAATTCAATTCTCAGTCCTTTACCAAGCCATTTTGATTCACACCTATATCTCCTTGGTCCTTTCAATCGCAGCGAGGAAACAACTCTTGTGAGTCAGGAGAAGAATGAAACATAGATACATATGTGAAACCTGAGAGCTAGCAACAACATAAATAAACATGTACAGTATGTATATATATATACTCTGTATACATACACGCACACACATATATATATAATACATATCAGCATGTACACACACATATATATAATATTATATATATAATAATATATATAATAATATATATAATATATATATATATATATATTCATTAAGATATTATATCATGTATATATATATATTAATGACTAATATAATGAATATATTATACACGTATGGTTCAAAGATATTCAGATCCAAAATGTCCCCTCGACCTGGATCTCCGTCGGAGGCATGGCCAACATGGCCTTGGCCACCAACTCCAGGACAGAGGCCTGGCGGTGGCTCCCGGTTGGTGAAACATGGTGGGTTTCCCGTGAACTTCCACAACGCAAATCCACCAAATTTGAGGGGTCAATAAGCTGTCAAGAGATTTTTGTGGCCAGTTCCATCTTTTCATAGATTTATGGTTGATGTATGGCTTTATTATAAAGGATATGGCTTTATTATAAAGGATATTTTCTGAAGGATATTCCTCGATTTATGGTCAATAGATAATATAGGCAGTAACCTCAGGGATAAACACCATTTATAGTGGATTTTCCCATTAAAAATGATGATTTTCCATAGTTTTTTGTATGTTTACCAGAGGGTAACCTGGGGGATAAACACCCAGAAATGGACAAAAAAAAGGCGATGGCTTCACCTCCATCCTCTGCTTTCGCCGGTATCGCTTGACCATTCCCAGGACTTCGGAGAGGCCTTGCAGGGACGCCTGGCACGTTGCGCCAGTTCACATATGGAGAACTAATGATAATAGATTATTTATAGCTCCATCAACAACACATGGATAATATATATATATATATATGTGTATACATATATAATTACACACATACACACACACATATATATATATATATATACATATATATATATATACACATATATTCTGAAAGGGGTTCAGAAAGGTAGCCACAACAAGAAATGCAATCTTCGGATGAACGGCCGCGTTCTCTTTTCCCTGCAGATCTCGGAATGAAATGTCCCAGTCTCCTCTCGAAGGCAAAAATGCTGTCCACAGCACGCGAAATGAGTCGGCCACGACTCAATGGCACAAATGGGGTGCCGCAAGCACTTCCCACCCACCAATCCCTATGGCTAGCCTCAGCCAAGTGCTGCAGACAGCCGTAGATGTTATATGTGTCAAGACCTGAAGCTTTGGAGTGACATGGACCCTGGAACATGTTGAAATTCACACTCCCAAAGAATCAAGAGTTTTTACTTTTGTTCTGAAGTTTTTAACCATTTTAATCGGTTGCGTGCATTTGCTCTGTCCTTCAAGATTTGATCTTGGTCATGCAACTGATAAAATCCATACTTCAGCGTTTCTCGGAGGAAGCTTGTTTCCATGATTTTCGTGAGGCTGTCGGCAAGTTGGGCACCTGAGTGGGCCCATTTAAGCGTTACTCCTTCGGACATCAGGTCTATCTTGGGTTCTTTCCATGCGGTTTGTGGGTTTAAAATCCAAGCCCAATATAATCTTAACCATGACAACTGATCGAGAGTACTATTCAGGGAAGTGGCTTCAGCTGAAAGTGTACTGTTCACAGCACTAACTACGACCTTCTGAATTTTCTTGCAGCCCCAGGATATGGGCGAGACCGGGCTTTGCAAGAAACTCAGTCGGCTGGACAAATCGGGTCGGGTGTTGACTGCTGCATATTGTAGGGATCCTATCAAGGCTCTTAGAGCCTGCTGCTCTTCTGAAGTTACTGAAAGGTCCGGTTGATATTTTCGGCTGGCATCGATGTGGATTGGTTCAATTTTGGAAATGTATTTTTCTTGGGATAGATTGATACTGTGATTGGAATTTTGGTGCATGTCAATGCCGGTGAAAGTGAATGTTTGAACTTTCTTGGACCCAAAAGGAAAGATCTTTTCAAGTTCAGCAAGCTTTGTTTTGAAATAGGCATTTCCCCCACAGAGACCGTCATCGACATGAACCCCAATGATACCAGCAATTTGTGTTGTCTTAGGTTCATATAACACATATACGGTGGGATCAAATGGTGAGGGGAGAAATGACAATGATCTCAACGTCCGGTCAAGTTCTTGGTACCACAAAAAGGGGGCATCAATCAGTCCATATGCTGACTTTGCGAGTTTACATACTTCGGTCGGTTTGAGCTGCATGGCTTTTGCCATTTCGGGAACTGGTTCGATTGCCAACACTCGTCCCTCCTGCGTCTTGCCTTGCAAAAAGGCAGCCTTGATATCAAATGATGACAATTCCCAATTCATTGAGGCAATTAGTTGTAAAATCAACATTCTTGACTGTCGTCCAAGTGTAGGGCTGTCTCTTTGCACTTTGTCTAGTGCGGGGTCAAGAAATCCTAAAACAACCAGTCTGGCCTTTGCCTCTTTGTCCTTTCCAAGTCGCTTTTGTTCAGCCTTGTCTTCTATTGGTTTCCATACATAGATCCATCTGCATCGCAGGATCTGTTCGGCTGACAATTTGTTTCTGAGGATTTTACATACTGTTCCTGTTTTCAACCAATTCTCAACCTCTGTTTGTTTGGCCTTCTCAAATTCTGCTTTTTCACTGGGTGACAGTGTACTCAATTTCACTTCTGTTCTTTGTTTCTTGGAATTTGACGCAAGAAAAACCAGCTCTTCCACTTGGTCAAGACTTATGGTTAGGCAATCGTCATCAAAGGGAACTTCAACCTCAAAGCGCCAAGCAAGATCGCCAGTTGTCTCTAAGTGTTGGGTGTCATCGAGGTCTTGGCACAGCAAAAGATCACACACTAAGCTATCATCATCACTGTCGGGAACTGGCACTTCGTGTGCTGCCGGTGGATCCTCTGGTTTTGGCGTGTCAGGCTCATGCGGCAAAGTTTCAGGTTCAGTGTCAGGTTGCTCTTGGGATTGTGATGAGCTCGAGCTTTCTTGGTTATTTTCATTGGAAATTCCTCTGGAAACGTTACTTGGTGGGATTATGTTATCACTGTTGGTATCCATATTCACTCTTGATGGTGATTCAAGATTGGTTCTCATGTTGGATTCCCGCGCCTGCATTTGTGGAAGAATCAAACTTTCATGGTCAGGGATAAGTTGAGCTTCAACAGAACTCACTGGTCGTACATGTTCAGGGGCTGCTCGAACCAAAGTTCCATGGTGCATGCTGAAAACGGAATTTTGTCCATCTTGTTGGATAACCTTGCAAGGACCGATCCAACCTTTCTGATGTTCACTTTGTCTCCAGATCATTACCCATTCCCCTGCTACATAGTTGCCCCTGTTAGGACGGTTCCTGCGAAGCATTGCTCTTCTCAAGGCCATACTGTTATCTGCTTCGTGAAAAGCCTTACGAGCCGATTCACGCATTGCCAGTTGAGCTCGGAAACGGATGCCGTGTCCATTTTCGTCCAGGGCTGCCAAATGGGAAGGGAGGTGGTCATCACTGGCTACGGATCCAGGAACTCGGAGGCCCTTCCCAAACACCAACACTTCTGGAGAGAAACCATGTCTCAAACTGCATGCGTTCTTTGCGGCTGTACACATGGACAATGCTATCTGAAGTTCAGAGTAGTTGTTGATCCCGTGCTCTATCTCAAACTTGGATAACATTTCCTGGAGAATTTCTCCATGGCGTTCTGTTTTCCCAAGTTGCCAATGTGCTCCAGGTGGAATCACCGTGGCTTTGACATTGTTCTGTTGAAGGAACTTTTGGAATATCTCTGACGTAAACTCTGTTGCTGAATCTATGATCATTTCATTGGGAGATCCGGCCCATAGGAACCAACTTTGTATCAATTTTTCCACTGCTTGTTCTGCAGTTCGGCTGGGTGCGACACTGGCTGTTTGGAAGTTCGTACCATGATCTATGTAGCGGTAAAAGTGAAAGGATTGACCATTTTTGTTGATCCAAGTGACACCATCGGTTGATATTTTGTCACAAAAATCCATTTCTGCTTTCAGGGTGGCTGGTCTGGGAATGCGTGGTTTCTGTTGCATCTGACAAGTGGAACATTGGTAATCTTCTAGTGCTTGGATCATGGTCGTGGGAAATCCCTTCTGGCGAAGGACCTGGCTGAGAACCTGTTTCGACGGATGTCCAAGGTTTTTGTGCACTCGGATGAGGAGGCTTCGCTCTTCAGCAGGCAGTGCCAAAAATCGATTTCCAGGCATCTGACTCTGGATGTCGGCTGCATCAGGGTCTTGGTCTAGATCTAAGATCTTTGGCTCTCCAGGAACTTCGGACTCCTGGGATTGAGATCTAGAGTCAGGGTTCTGTGACAGCATAGGTATTGACTCATCCGGAGTCGGTGATTGGCTGTCACTCTGATCTGGCAGCAAATCTTGGGCATCGGTGGCAGGCTCAATCACTGGTGGATTGGCAGCAAATACTGTTATATTCACGTGGCAGGAATGAGATGCTCTGATTAATTGTCTTTGAGAAAGATCCTCCCAGTGTTCCCAATGGTCTTCTACTAGTATTTGTTGGGTATCTCGAACTTCAACAATTGCTCTACGATATGGTGCTTCCCCTCGTAATAGTTGCTTTGGAGGTCCTAACGTACGTTCAGTACCTTTGCATGCAACTATTCGCTGGACGGTCTTATCGTTGAAGACTTCTTGAACTTTCTCAATTACTCTTGGGTCTGTGATCTCATGCTTGCCTACCCGTGGAAGCTGCTGCTTGATGCTAGTTACAATCTGCTGCACGAGTGTTTTGGCATCATCTTCGGGTCCTTTTACCTCAAGTCTTCTTCTTTTCCGAGGCAACTCATTCGGTTCGATCAGTTTTGCTGCAGGCTTGAGGAACTTTTTCGGCCTCTGTACAGGTGAGGTGTCTGGACCACGTTTTCTGCCATATGCTGCAAAAACGGCGTGCCACTGATGAAATCCCCTTGGTTTTTCAAAATTGGCCTTGGCTAGAACTTTGGCAATGGTTCTGGCAAATTTTCGAGTATAGGCTTCGGACATAGTTGTTCGGTTGATGGTCTGTCCGTTCACTTGGATAGTCCCTGACAACTGTTGATGTGAGTGTTGTTTGTTGCAACACCTTCCATGCAATTGTTCATGCAACTTAGAATAGGTGGTCCGCACGGTCATGCTCTTTTGAATCAACAGCTGGCTTACAGGGTCCTTCAACTCACCTACCTGGCACATGTCAAAATTGGAGGCATGCGTGAGTGCATACAGTTCGGACAGCAGTGGAGTTCGAAACATCATAGATTTCCGGGTCTGTTCCCAGTGAAGATGTTTCCCCCTTGAGAACTGATGACGCAACAACACCACGCCGAGGGCTAATTGGTACAAGTTCTGACTTCGCTGGAGGTTGATCTTGTCAAACTGTTCTAGTGACTTGTTTTCATTGAGATGGCTCCAAGGACTCCAGGGTCCACATACTGGGCTGAACCACACATGTTCTGGGTTTTGTCTCACAACGATCTCAAACAGTTTGTTCCGACCCTCCACAGTTGACAAGTCACCTTCTGCCAAACCGAATCTGCGTGAGCGGGAGTTCAGGTTCTGCATTTGCTTGGTCAGCTCGCTATTGGGACCACAAAAAACTTCAACAAGTTGCAGCTTTGGCCATTGAAGATTGTTCTTGCAATTGTGACTGCGTTTATGGACAGTGGTAAGTTCATTGGTGATTTGTATGACAAGTTCATCAAACTGTTTCTGTAGTGAATGTGGATTGATGGTGGTGACAAAGCTATCATCCAAACCGTAATCTGGGTCCCCTGCAATCTTCAGACCAAACGCTTGCTGCTCACTGTTCAGTTCTGGCGGATGTGGTTCAGAATCTCTGTCATCGCATTTTCCATGTGGCCCATACGTGCCTGCAGTGCTGTGATCATCTCGTTGGACTCGGGATTCATTGAGGCCAGGGACCATTCGTCTGCATCCGGCTCCATTTCCTGGTGCAGGGTCATCTCTTCGTGAGGGCGATGAGATGAAGCTTGATCTCGAGGTCGTGCCTTGGCTTTGGCAAACATTGGCATCTGAAGTGATGGCTCCGTCAGGGTCATCGTTGGGGGCGTCTCGCCCTTCTCTTCCTGCTCCACCATGATCTGCACAAAGTGACGGAGCTTCAGATGGTCCAGCTTTTGGGATGTCTCGTAGGTCCGCAGGAACCATTTCATCCACTTGGGCTCGTTGTGGTACATGTCCAAGTAGGTTTTGCCCATGTGGGTTTTGCCAAAGGTCACTGTCTGTTGGCACTTCTCTTCGAAGCTCAGGGACTTGAACTCCTCCAGACTGTCGCCTTGGGCATAGGTCTGGCTGCGCTCCAGGACACGGTCGAATCGGTCGGCAAGGCTCATTTTGGCTGTTGGCACACGGATCGGATGCAGCAATCGGAGGGTTACTTGAACCAACCTGTTTGCTATTGGTAACTGGCATTCGTTCCTCATGGATCTCATGAGACTGTTCGGAAATCTGCACCTGTGGAACTGAATCTTGAAATGGAAATGACACTGTTTTCGGTGTTGGTGATTTTCCTGAGTTGTGTGTGTGAAACATGTTGCGTGTGATTGGCATGGTTGTGGTCTGGGTGACTTGATTGAGGTTCCCACTTCGGTCAATTGGGTCCTGTTTGTTCACGGAGGCTGCTTCGACGTTGTCACAGTTGGCAAAAGTCTCTGCTGCAGTCGAAAGTTTCAGCGCACTTTGCACAAGCTCATTCAGATCCACAAGGAACAAACCACGGCTGTTCAAGTGCAATTTGATAGGCTTTCCAAACACTGGGCTGTGCAGGCTGCTGGAGGAAATATCGATGCTAGACTTCAAGGCTCGGAGCAAGGTATTGGACAGCAACAAAGGAGTGTGACCCTGAACAACTGCGATCTTTAACCCAAGGTTACCTATTGGGATAACAATGGCATGATTGCTATCAAGAAGTCCTTGGTTTCCGAATCGAAAAGTCACACTGCACTTGCATCTTTGAACCTTGTTTCGCACCTTAGGATGCAGGCTTCGCAGCAACTCTGGTACGAGGGCACTTCCAATTACTGACTTGGTTGCTCCGGTGTCAAGGATCCCAAAAGATCCGTGGGTTGCAAAAAGGGCTACCTCGTCATGTGCGAGATGCACTTGGTTGGCTTTCGGCAGGGCTTTGGACACTGGAAATCTACGGACGCTTTCTCTCACTGGGCATTCATTCCTGAGCTCTGCGATGTCATGTTTCCCCGATAATCTATTATTATCTACCCCTGACATCTTATCCTCTTTACTCTGATTCCCCAGGTTATAGTACTTCTTACCCCGAAAAATCATGGTGAAAGCACTGGCTACTTGCGGATTGGGCTCGTCGTCAAGTGTGGCTTCGGATGCTACAGGCAGTTGCATGAACTCCAAGGGCAAAAACTCATCGATGGTCTCAGCAGGAGCGGACTCGATCACGGTGGTCATGGTGGCTGCAGTGGATGGCACGGCCGAACCTGAACTTCTTGGTCTATCAGGACATTCAGCCTTCCAATGGCCACGTTTGCCGCAAATACGGCATGAACTTTCCATGATTCTCTGCTGCAAACTCTTTCGAGCACCCTTGAAAGCACCCTTTCCACGGCCTTTGAAACCCTTGCCACGACCCTTGGAATTCCCAAGGGGCCAGAATCCTCGGTTCTTGGCACGGTCACTAAGTCTCTTTCTGGCTTCTGTGTAGGCATTCAAGGCAGATGCCAGCTCAGGGTCATCTTGGATGGCTTCGGTCATGGCTGTTTCATAGTCACTGATGAAGGCGGCGTCTTCATCTCCCTCTTGGAGAAGCATCTCAAGCATGTCCTCTTCGGACGGTTCTTCCATGGTGAAAGCGGTTCCTTCTGCATCATCGGTCTCTTCGGTGAAAAGAGCTGTTGCATCATACACTTTGCCTTTGGATTTCTTGAGGCCTACCATTTCATGAAAAAACCTGATCCCAACATGCGAACTGATTGATTCACTTTGTCGATGGCGAGGACGCCTTTTCCAGCGGCGTCTGACTCAAGAATGACCTTTTTCTTGTCTTCTTGAGACAACAGTGATCCCCTGAGCACCACATCCGCTTGGATTTCCTCCAGTGAGGTCTTCTTCGATAAAAGTTCGGTCCAGTAAATGTCAGTTCTTGCTAAGTATGAATCATTGGTTTCATCACCACGCTGAGTGCACCTGAAAAGGGCTTTCTCCACCGTCTCATACTTTCTCTCAAGGTTAACCTTTCCCCATTGTCCACCTAAGATCGTGACAATGGCTTGGATGCCGTCCTTGGTACCTGTCAGAATCACGGATTTCTGCAGTTGCAGCTTCTGAAATGCTGCTCCAGTCGAATTGAGAATGAGCCTAGTGGCCAGCTCATTCAATTTGTCACTCGGCCAGATTTCGGCCAACATCTCAATCTTCTGCGCATACTGTTCAAGATCATCCTTTTAGGGATCAAACGATGGTACCAGTGTTGCAAGCTGTGTCGAAACACTAGTTGTCGCCTTTTCCTCGGTCTCGGAACTCATGCTCAAAACTGGATGGTGCGTCACTCAATGGTCACGCCACACTTGTAGGAAATTAATTGGCACCCTGGAGCTAGTGGTAGCTCCGCTACCAATCTGAAAGGGGTTCAGAAAGGTAGCCACAACAAGAAATGCAATCTTCGGATGAACGGCCGCGTTCTCTTTTCCCTGCAGATCTCGGAATGAAATGTCCCAGTCTCCTCTCGAAGGCAAAAATGCTGTCCACAGCACGCGAAATGAGTCGGCCACGACTCAATGGCACAAATGGGGTGCCGCAAGCACTTCCCACCCACCAATCCCTATGGCTAGCCTCAGCCAAGTGCTGCAGACAGCCGTAGATGTTATATGTGTCAAGACCTGAAGCTTTGGAGTGACATGGACCCTGGAACATGTTGAAATTCACAATATATATATAGTTACACACACATATGCGTGTATATATATATATGTATATTAGATGATATTAGCTAATCATAGCCCCGCCTCGGTGAAAGATCTTTGCTGCTGTTTCAGTGGAGGCACTAAACATGGCGTGGTCGACTGCTGAATCTCCTGCCGCCAAATGCACTTGGGCCTCAGGCATCGCCGTGATCTCATCAGAATCATCAGAGCGGTCATGAAGGTCTTTGAGGTCCAAACCAAAGCGTACAAACATTTCATGGCCCCAGACCTTACACATCCACACTTGGCACGCAAACAACAGGCTTCAGACTTGAAAGAAACAACATCATGGTCCATGAAAATGTGACCTTTCCCCCAACTAAATATAGATCCGCCACTTACAATATCGGAGGTTGGGAGACAATTTTACTCTAAACGATTGCAATTCTCAGGGTATTTCTGACCAAGGGCTGTGCCCATCTGACAGGCTCCAGTAGATGTTCAACGCTTGATGCCTCGGCAAAGTGAACAAAAAACGCTCCTCGACATGTCTCCCTCACAGTTCAATCCAAGGCTATGACAAGGTCCCAATGGCTGTTTCCGTGCCTCAGCAGCTGATTTTCAAGAAACTCGGCACAGCAAATGGTGCATGGTTCCGTAGGTTCCTCCTGTGCAAGATCGGTTTCAAAGAAATAGAAAGGCGAGTCGCTTCCTGCATCTCGGAGGGCTCGAAAGCATTGGTACAAGGCAATGGCCTGGCAAAAGGAGAACTTTTAAGAAGAGCTAGCTGCTAGCTGCCCACCCTCAAAAAAACATCTAAAAAAAAATAAACATTTATAAACCACATAAAACCATGTGCGCCTCCCCTTCCAAGTCCGAACACGTGCGGCGTTCCATTGCCAAAGTGGACAGCTGGACATAGGCCTCTCCGCACCAGGGCTTCTCAGAATATCACTGGGTTGGTTTAAGGAAAAACTGGGCCCTAAACTGGGCCCTAAATTTGTTTTTGACCAGTCCAATGAGAATGGACTAAACCAGGTTCAGCCTCTCACTATCCATCTATAATATATTTGGATAACTTGAAGCCCTTACACATAACACATGGATTTACATTAATTCACCATCAAAATCCATCAAATACCATATTCCTTATATTATCCATCATCGTTGGATATACAAGATGATTAAATTCCCATAAATTCCCCATGAAAGGGATTATATATTAAAACATTCATGGATCATATTTTTGGATACCTCATGTTCCTTATTGGATGGTTAAAATCGTTAAATTCCCCATTAAAATGACGAATCTTCACACCATTCGTTCAGCGCCTCTTGAAGCTTCCCACCAGCCATCAGCGCATCAGACAAGAGGAGCCGCGCGGCAACTTCGCCTTGGGCCTTGGTGTGTGATGGGTTTATGATAGTTTTACCCATAGGATCCATGGATGGTATATATGCTAACATTGGGGGTATATTGATGGTACATGTTACCATATATAGCATACATGGATCCTATGGGTTATTCTGGGACATTTAACGATTTTAATCATCCAATAAGGAACATGAGGTATTCAAAAATATGATCCATGAATGTTTTAATATATAATCCCTTTCATGGGGAATTTATGGGAATTTAATCATCTTGTATATCCAACGATGATGATTCTATACTGCTTTATAATGGTTTGTCAAACATATATGTTTTCTTTGTGGTTTATGATGTGTTTCTTAATGCCGATTTGAGAATGGTGTATGATGGTTATCACATTTATCATAGAGATTGTGATCGTTTTGATCGTTCTTTATCCGATGACGTGGATCAAAATCCCACGATCGCATAGATTTAAACGCTTATCAGTGAATATAGCTAGTAATTGATTATTGGATTGTCTGGAGTTACCTTCCTGAAATGTAGCCCTCCACGAGTCAAAATGAGTTGCACCTAGCGCACCTTCTATCCCCAAACCTACTGGTTGTTTAATCGCAGGGTTCCAATAACGGTTCCAATATTGGATTTATAGATTTATTCAATATAGGTTCCAATATTTATTCCCATATTTAATATCACTACGCCTTTAAGTAGGGGGGGCGTACCCAAATTTCAAGACACAATTTAGACGTTTTTGAGGGAGGTGGTCCTGTTAAATGTTGGCAAGCATTTATATTTATTCTTTTAACTGCGTCTTATTTGCAAGATGTCATTTTAGTAGGTCACCTCATTCTTTACGGGATTTCATTTATTTTCTTAAAAGAGACAGGGGGGCGTTCAATATTGTCCATTGCATGTTTGAAAAAAATGTAAGAAAAGGAAAAAAATGTAAACCAATAGTGTGAACGTCTGCAAATAGCTGCGGAATTGCAGAAAATCAAAAATGCAAACTGGAAGTGTGTAGGTCCCCAATTGCCTGGTATTTCCAATACATTCTACACTTTTTCTACGCTTTTATTATAATTTCCACATGTAACATAGAGGTATAGAAGGTATATTATTCCTTGCAAATTACTGGAAAATCCTTGGGCTTCAAATAAATGTAAAGTTAGATGTTGAAGGTTTTCAAATTTACCTCCTAGCTATGGAAAAACAATAGAATGCAAATAAAGATCTCAAATGGACCTCAAAAGGACCTCATATGAACCTTTGTGGGGTCCCCATGGTAAACTCCCTTTATGTACCTACATGATCGAACTTAAACACCCTTCTGCCACGGTTCCTATCTAGCCCCCCTTATGACCCTCCAACCATTTTTATTCTAACAATCTACACATGTGTCATGTTGATTCTGAAAGGAACTGTGGAACCTGAGGTGTAGGATGGTTACATTTTTCAATCTTAGCTTTACATTGTTTTTCGAGCACTTTCTGCAAGGAACTATGGACCTTATGTATAGGATGGTGATTTTTTAAAATCTTATATTTACAATTATTGTTTAAGCACTTTCTGCAAGGAATTATAGGCCTCAGGTGTAGTATGGTTACATTTGTCTATCTCATTTTTACCTTCTTTTTAAGCACTTTCTGAAAGGAGTTAAGGACCTAAAGTGTAGGATGATTACATTTTAAATCTCATCTCTACCTTCTTCTTTCAGCACTTTCTGCCTGGAATTATAAGCCTCAGGTGTAGGATGATTACATTTTTCTATCTACTTTCTGCAAGGAACTATGCACCTCAAACATAAGTTGATTACATCCCCACAAAGCCACCTCACAAACAGTATACAAACTGCTTGCGGACATTTAACAATTTTTACCTCCCCCCAACCCCCCTATCCGTAGAGTACGCGGGGGGGAGTTCGGAGGGGGGTACGGGGTGACCTATCTCTTACGGACTTTCACCCCCCCCTTCCCTAAATGTAAATCTTCCAGGGCACGGTCGTTTGACGTAGGAGGGGTCTAAGATACATATAGCCTTTCCCATCGGGAAAAATACGCAGGGGTCAAAATTGTTGCTTACATTTTTTGAACACCCCCCACGAAAAGGGTGGTGATTAAAAATTATTCATTGTTCCAATATTAGTTCCAATATAGTCATTCCCGTTCTACCAGGTGGTATGGTCTTGTTGTTTCAACCATGGAGCTTGGGGGAAATAACTCCCATGAGGGGCTCGAACTGAGAAAATGGGTGCAACGTGGTGCAACTATGCTAGTCATGACTCTAGTGACGACCAAATGTGACCAACAAATCAAAACAAATCATAATAAGATATAATAAGGGAATACAAGGGGTACGGGGTAGATATTCAACCAATGGTTGACTGTCTCGTCTGGAATGCAGGGGATGCAGGGGACTGAAGCCTGGAATTGGCAATTAGCCTCTGTAATGGAGAACCACCCTACACCATCCAGAGTTTGAGTTGGTGTACACCGCTGATGGTTTGGAAGTGACATACTCATCTTGCCTGAAAGTGAGGGACTCTCACACCTTCTTTACTCCTTGAAGTGCATCTGGGCTTGCGCACATCCTGAAGCTCTACGCTGAGTTGCTGTGCCTGCAGAGCGCGCCACGGCTGATGCTCTTGTCGTGACGCGTCGTGCCACAAAAACCGCTGCCTCTTTGGCTTCTTGTGTTGCTATTGTCCAGCTCCGGACGTCACGGTCAGCCAGGTGCGCCCTGGTTGAGTCAACTAGATCTGCAGTGGTGGAAAGAGGTGTCTTGAAAGCTGCTGAATCTCTCGGATACATTTGTTGAGCCTATTTTCTACGAAACCCAACCAATCTGCCATGCCTGGCTGATGCACAGAGTCCAGAGGCCAGTTGCCGCTGCCCTGAAGGTCCCAACTGTCGACATACGCCTAAAGCCTCGACACACGGCGTTACGGCGGCTTCATGGGAAAATTCCCGTGGTTCACGGGGATTCCCATGGTGACCATATAGTGATCATTGAGAATCCATGATAACCCCTGTTATAAGTTATAATCATTATTTCGCCATAGAATCCCATAGAATCCCATAGATTCCCCTGGTGGATTATGATGGATTATGAGAACCTCCTATTGGGGAGCATAATTGGCGAACTCATCAACAGGGGTGCTCGAACAGTGCTCATTTCAATCAAGGAGAGACTTACCTGCGCAATGGAAGCATTAGCGCGCATGGTTGCACGTGATGAGGACTTATCATTTTTAGTCCTCTTGATTCAATTTGATTCCAATCTAGACTCTAGACGTTAATTACCGTTAATTGTTAGATGTCAAACACTGCTGACTGTCTGACACTCACGGTGTGGTGGTTAAGCTCCTCACGGTGTCAGCGGCCTTTCGGGCTTGCGACAAGCGCCCAACGTCCAAGTGTACTGCCACCGCAGCAATGAGCCTCAGCAGTTTGACCAATGGGAAATCGTTCTTCGGGCCCTGCAGCACGGAACCAGGGGCCGGGCATTTCGGCCAAAGGAATCTGCTCATTGCACTTCCGAAAGCGCACAGCTGCCTGTCAAAGAACACTCCTCACGATGGGCTGCTTGATTTGCTTTGTTTGCATCATATATGGTTCCGCAGCCACAGCTGCCATGTTTTGAACCCGATAAACATCGATAAACCCCGCCTCCCCCAGCACCTGCAAAGCCTCTTCATGCTCACCAGCAGAAACCTGCGGGCGAAGCGGCATTCTGTGGCCGGTAAGGTGCATATCATGGCTGAAAGCTGTTGGGCGCACATGCTGCTCGGACAAGACCTTCAGCCTTGGGCCACACAGCTTCAAGGTTGAACATGGTTGAACATGTTCAAGAATAGACCGTCATGTGCGCAAGTAAATGCCGAAGGTCTGTGAATATCCTTAACTAGGCCCCAAACGCCTTGCACTCACCTGAGGTCATGCCTTCTCTCTGGTAAAGTATTGATGCCTCCCGCATAAAAATCATAAAAAGCGCGAAAATCGTGAGACACACTATTCTGAATTATATGTTGAAATCGAACACTGCCCACGCTTCTGGGAAAAGCATCTGGGAGCCGGAGGTGTATTTGAACAACATGACCAAATGAACCTATGACCTATGAGTCCTATTACGAGTCAAAGGATCATTCCATAAAATTGAAACGTCACATCCATAAAGCAACGTGTCTGACATGTCACCAGTATGCTTAGATATCTCTGGAAACAGCACCAGCCTGCTTGGCTGCAAGATGGGCCACATCCTCATCATTTGGGCATGGGCCATTTTGTAATTCCTTGAGTTGACGGGGTTCATCATCATCATTAATCATCCAATAGTACCGGAGAATGAAATATATTTTTAAGATATGGCCCCTCATGGCCCCTCCAAAACTTAGAGACATTACATACATCAGTTTATTATGGCTTGAACATGAGCCTGAGGCATGGGCAGCTTCACCCTTGAGCATTTCTACTTTGGAGACCTTGCAAGATGGCGGGTCTCACAAACTGAAGCTGCTGGCCCATCATCATCATCATCATCATCATCATCATCTGAGCCGCCAACAACTTCAAGCAGTACACGAGCTTCACCCTTGCTATCCTCTCAAGTGTCAACATCTCAATTGCAGGCTTTAGTTACTTTAGTTAATATGTGAATCAAAACCTATCCGTCCACCAGCGGAGTCAATGGCTCAGCATCCAGCATCCAAGACATTTATGTGAGCAAATTCTCCAAGAGAACCATTTGTTTTACCAACTCTTAATGGGAAAATATATATATATACTATGGATATACAATTACTATGGATTACTATATGGATATATATATATATATATTACTATGGATCTATATGGATTATCATCCACATAAAATGAATCTATAGGGGTGATCCTCTGCCGTCCTTCAAGCGCTTGAAGATCGATTCTGCCGTCTTCCCTGCCTCTGTGGCCTCTTCCACCTTGACGTCCATCGTTTCGTTCGATTTCTATCAGAGGTCTATGTTTCAACATGTTTCAACATGTTTCAACATGTTTCAACATGTTTCAACATGTTTCAACATGTTTCAATATGTTTCAATACTGCCATAGTTATACCATATATATATAATATAATATATATATCATCAAATGCTTTTAACTTCGCCCTAGAAGCTTCAAGGTCAACCCAAACCTGACGCTCTGCAGTGCATCCCTTCGCCAGTGCCTGGTCCAGGGTAATGCACAGCTCTGCAATTTCGCACAGCGATTTGGCCATCTGCGACAGTTTGGCGCACGGGGTGCGAAAGTCCATCTGTGCTGTCTGGGGTTGGATCCAGCATCGAAAGGGCGCGTGGAAAACGACGTGTAGTCGGCAAATCGAAGATCTTTCAAGATACTGACTTTATCTGAAATTATTCGGAATGGAGCCATGTGAACACTCTCATTTTCGGCAACATGGCCATTGTCAAACGACTGTACTTGGTGACCTCAGCAAATAGGATAGCTATGGAGCTGAGAACTACTTTTACTACCTCAAGGATCCTCAAGGTGTTGAGCAGTGAAAAGAAGGTTGCCCTGTTGGGATCTGTTGGGTATGTTAGTCTCAAACTTGGGCAACCATACATTCTTGGAGAACTGTTGACAGTTCTTTTTTGTTTCAAGTCGAGATATGTTCAGAATTGTTACGACCTTTATATATATATATGCATTATATGCACATTATATCCTAGCATTACCTATATAACCACTATTGAAAAGAACAACTGTGGCCCGGCTCGAAAACATGTTCACCAGTCACCTTTCAAGATACTGAAAGGTCCAAGCCGTCCAACCTCTCCCAGATCTTCCTCTTGTCTCCATAGCTCCATTTGACGCTTGGTGTAGCCTCTGCTGTCTGCTGGGACAGGCTGGCACCGCTGGGATAGGACTAGGACGCCTGCTAGGACTTTTGGTTGCTGGATTTTCGCCCGAATCAAAATTCGAGAAGTTGACGAGTCCATTATCGAATTTTATCAATCTTTCAGATCAGGTGGTTGCTATAGGTTAGCATCCATCATGACTGCTGACTGATGCATTTGATGACTGAGGAAAACCCACGTAAAGCGTCCCCATATCGTCGGCAGCTCCGCAGGGATGACGCGAGCCATGACAGGAATGCCTTGGCTCCAGGCCGATGGTTCCAAGCTAATTCCCCTCAAATTTAGTGTCAAGATATGTTAAGATTCGAGTCAAAATCATCAAAATCATCCTTGAACAGGGAAAAAACAAACATATAAGTTATAAGTAACTACCATATAACTACCATACAACTATCGTATATATATATATATCCATATTAATTAACAACTTCGATCCATCCGCCCAGTGACCTGCTCCGTTTGGACGTCCTCCGCCAGGTGCCGTGCTTCCTCCACTTCCTCCAGGGAGGCGCCAGCACTCAGCGCCACGTGGGCGCGAGCACGTGCCGCCGCATCGCCCGCCAGCAGGGCGACGGAGGCCATGGAGGCCGAGGCCATGGAGGCCATGGCCATGGGCCCATGGTGAGCGATTTGAACTTTAAAAGACTGCAAATGTCCACCTGAGTCAAACTTAACTTTGATTTCTTGAAAAAAAAACTTGAATTTTCTTAAAAGGTGCAACTTTCATGTTGCCAAAGAATTGGATGCTCTCAATGCTGTCTTTTTTTCAGATGCATTTTCAAGAATCCGAATAACATCTTTATCAGCATGACCATGATGAACCATCAAAGAACCCATGGTGCGCATGGTGTCTCTCTCTTTCAGGGCATTTCTTCAAGCTGTGCAGGTTGCGGTCTGGCAAAATTGCCTGGAGCTAACTCGCCCGGAGCCCTCCTTTTGAAGCCCTCCTAGACGATCAGCGGCTGGAGCGACGTCGCGCCAGCTGCCCCAACAAGGGATGGGAAAAGTCAGGGTACACCATGGCTACACCCACAGGGCGACGTGTTCCGTCATGTTCCTTGGAAACGAAAGCCAACCAACAGAAATTACTCGGGGAGAACATCTCCAAATATCTCCAAACCCTTTATGTTGATCATTTTACAACATTGGACGACTTTAGCAACAAGCCCCCCGTGCACCGTTGGGTGCACAACGGTGCACCCGCAACGGCCCTCATCGGCGCCACCGGCTATCGTGGCATCATGCCACCACTCACACCACCACGGCGACTCTGCTCAATGGCTTCCTGGAAGCAGGTGGGGATCATCTTGGCACCCCAATGGGTGGAACTTAATGAACCCCAGGGAAGTATTTGAAAAGATCAGGCACCAAATGATGATGCTTGTATGTTTGCATGTCGTTGCAATGAAAAATCGGTCAGGTTGGTTGTTTTTTTTTCATCCTTCCAAAGTTGATATACCCTCCGGTAAATTATAACATAATTATGGAAAATCATCATTTATAGTGGATTTCCCCATGAAACATGGTGGATCTTTCCATAGTCGTTACGTAAACGTTTACCAGGCCGGGTAGGTCGTGTCCTTCCGCATTCTCACCTCTTCTGCCTCCTTCAAGTCACGCTGTTTGACCCTCAGCCATGGCGCTGCCGATCCTGACGGATCCTGATGGTCTTATTGTGGTCTTGACATACTTATGCCATTAGTATACCCGATTATATATATATATATATGATGTTGTAGTATTGTAAATTATACATGGTATACATGGTATACATGGTACTGTGCCATAATTGTATTTTTATTTGTTATACAATTTATACACCATCTTACATACATCCCAAGACATCCCACGGCCGTTGCAGTCAAGGAACCATTCAGGTCTTGGCCTTTTCTTGGCAGCCTCGATGTCCACTTTCTCATCCTGAAAAAAGGATGGCCCACCATTGCTATTGTGGTGAACACCAAAACAAATGACAACCCAAAATAGCATTATAGGTTTTGACATGTTGTGACCATATCATCATGATTCATCATGTGATATTGGTCCCAAAGGGGCAATAGGATCCAATCGCAAATAAAGCTTGGAAGCAACAACTTATGATTCAACTTATGGTAATGCGATCCCGGCCTCTTCCGCAATCTGAACACAGCCCGTTCTTGTAGAAACGAGTTCTACAACACACTTGAAATCAGTCAGCCTGCGCCCCTGGATTGGTCCAACAAGTCTACTGTTACTATGTTCTACTGTTCTACTTCTTGGATCTTAGTTGTGGATAGTGATTCCGCGAAAATATGTCCCAATCCCACTAACCTTTCTGAATCAAGGCTGGTGGACCTTAGGGTCAGGAAGGATGAAGGCTACGGTGAAGGCGGCGGCAAGTCCCACTGCTCCAAGGATCAAGAAGACCTGCTCCCTTGGTTCGGGGTCCAGTTTGTGACAGAAACTGACTTTAGTATTGTCCACCTCGAAAAAATCAGTGCCCCCCCATTGCGCTCGAAAATTTGGAGAATCTCAAAAATGGGATTCTCTCTGCCATGTGACTACATGTTCCCCATCAGCTCATGGCTATCATCAGCTCATCAAATGGCCCACTTAGATCCCTGCTGATCAGCTCGTCCAGTCAATGTACCCAGCTGCCAGTCCTGGGGCCGGAAAATCCATGGAAATAAAAAGCCTGCCAGATCTGCCAGGAAAGCCGTGGAAAACCACCATGTCGAATGGGAAATCAATGGCATATTATTGGTATATCAACGAACCAAATGGATCTAAATGGGTCTAATTCCATATCTATTTTTCAAGTTGCTGGAGGATACCTTGGAATCGGAGTGACACAATGCATCTGCGGCACTCTGGGTCTCTGACCGGGGCATCTGGATCCAGAGCCGATGGCTGGAACTGGTCTGGGTTGGCGGAGAACGCCCTGACAGGTTGAGGGGTCCCCCGTTTTTGATGAGGTACCGTGTTTTAAGAGAGTTAGATATGCAAAATCAGAATTTTTGAGAGGTCAATCGTGCATAAATGGGCCATTGCCCGTCCATAGCATATTGAAATGATTCGTTAGTTTTTACCAAGGGGTACAGGATGACCAGGATGCTCAAGGTTTAGGCTTCTCACAATCAGAATGAACATCAAGCAACCCCATGCCCCAGCCAGAATACCATTTTGCCAGGGTGCAAAATGGGGAGATTCGAGAATTGTTGGGCGTTGATCCCCACGGACATGCTGTGACATGTCGTTGGCTAACCACCAACCCGCTTGTTTTGAATGATGTTTCAAATCTGCAAAACATACTAGAATCAGCCAAACCGCGGTAGATCATAACATGTTATAGTTAAATTTTGTCCAACTATATAATTAATTGAAATATGATATTGGAACCATAATTAGTAATGATTTGGAAATCCAATAAACCCCATAGGATCCATGTATGCTATATATGGTAACATTTACCATCAATATACCCCCAATGTTAGCATATATACCTTATATACCATACATGGATCCTATGGGAACTAATATCTATTTTGGAAATAAACGATTTCAATTGTAGTTCTGCAACCAAACCCGGCTACCTCCACTGCTCAACCAGGTCCTTAGCGTTGCCTCCCAGCATTTCTGAACTTTTCCCGATGACAAGCGAGAAATTTCCATGAAATCAAAGTGCAAACAATGTGCAAACAATGTAAACATATGGCAATAAATAAAGATCTTAAAAGTAAAAGTATTCCTATGATGATGATCAAAATCATCCGATTGAACATTGAGATGCGACAAATGTCCGCATTTCATGTGATTCTACAACTGGTGACTGTGCTTTAAAGAATAAGCAAAACCTGGCATGATTCATGGGACCCCCACCTGCAGCCACAGCGCCCTGGTCCTGAAATGTCCAGCCACTTTTTTTTGCCAAATGTGCTGTGCCATCAGCCGCACAGAACTTCAAGCACGCATATGCTACGCTGCTACTTAAAGAAGAACAAGAAACCACAACTCAGCCTTTTCAGTACCTACGGCCTATTACGGCCTACTCTTGTAGGTAGCGTGTGATGCTTAACTACTCTCGTACTTGGCCTCTTGTGCGTTTGCTAGGCTTGGCAGAAGCACACCTGCGGCCTCAATTGATCTCAAGCGCCATGATGTGCCATGATTGAATCCAGTGCTGCAAACTCTGCTGCAACATGTTCATCTGCAAACCTAACTGAGTTGCATTCCATCCTCTGCCATGCTCATAGCAAGTCACCAAGTCACGCCAAATCAGCCATGTGCTGAGGATAATGCTAAGCCAGCGTTGCCCCATCGACCAGGTGCCGGAACGAAACAGCTGTAGCATGAGAGCAATGCCTGAACTGTCCAGCACGTCACAAGGAACATTGGACCTTCACAATCCGCCCACCATGCTATGGCTAAGTTGGCCAAGAGGACAAGAGGAGCCTCATTTTTGTGGTTCACACCAGAAAAACAACGTGGAGATTGCAAGTTGCTGAAACCATGAGAAGCTGGGGCAGCTACAATGCACATGGCCAGGACGAGTAGCAGTCCAGCCCTTGGCTTTCACTTCCAGGGCACTGTCTACGTGTTGGTCTGATGCCGTTTGTCAAATACTGTCCGTTCTTTCTCATTTAGAGCCATAATACAGGCTATTTCCAGTGTTTTCTGTCAGCTTGAGTCAGCCCATCGATGCACTTGAGAAACTACCCTCAAAATTTCTCAAACACTCAACGAAGAACATGCAACACCACTACGAAAAGAAGCATGCATCCTTGGCTGCAAATCTCATGCCTTTCTTTTGACAAGACAAAGGAGATAGCCATGATTACAATGGCGCAACAGCAATATAATTATATATATATAATATAGTTATATATATATGTATACAATATATATATATTGATATTGTAATGTCATAATGTTGGGTCCTGATTAGTACCTAGGGTCGCTATTGTGGCAAATTTTTTCCAAATTATTCTGAAACTCATGTATTGTTTGGAGGGTTCGCTTTTGTGGCAAAACAAAATTGGGAGAGCCCTTTTTTTTTGCAAAAAAACTGTAATTGCTGAGAGGCATGTTTTCTCAAAAACGCTGTAGCTCAGTCAAGGTAGGTTTGTTTGCTGGGTTCACTATTGCAGCAAGCTGTGCCAGAGCAGCTCCTGGAAGCCCAGAAGGGAAGCAAGCCTTTGCCAAAATTGCCAAATTCAAACCCAAGCCTTTCCCAAAAGAACCAATCCCTTATTAAACCCTTATTAAAGAACAGCTTTTCCACAATTTTCCAAGGCCCTGGACCAGGAGAGGCTCCATTTCACTTTAGTAAGTTTGTTTTCTGGGCTCACTATTGCAGCAAGCTGTGCCAGAGCAGCCCCTGGAAGCCCAGAAGGGAAGCAAGCCTTTTCCAAAATTGCCAAATTCAAACTCCAAGCCTTTCCCAAAAGAACCAATCCCTTATTAAACCCTTATTAAAGAACAGCTTTTCCACAAGTTTCCAAGGCCCTGGACCAGGAGAGGCTCCATTTCACTTTAGTAGGTTTGTTTGCTGGGTTCACTATTGCAGCAAGCTGTGCCAGAGCAGCCCCTGGAAACCCAGAAGGGAAGCAAGCCTTTTCCAAAGGCAATTGCCAAATTCAAACCCCAAGCCTTTCCCAAAAGAACCAATCCCTTATTAAACCCTTATTAAAGAACAGCTTTTCCACAATTTTCCAAGGCCCTGGGCCAGGAGAGGCTCCATTTCACTTTAGTAGGTTTGTTTGCTGGGCTCACTATTGCAGCAAGCTGTGCCAGAGCAGCCCCTGGAAGCCCAGAAGGGAAGCAAGCCTTTTCCAAAATTGCCAAATTCAAACTCCAAGCCTTTCCCAAAAGAACCAATCCCTTATTAAACCCTTATTAAAGAACAGCTTTCCCACAATTTTCCAAGGCCCTGGACCAGTAGAGGCCCCATGTCACTTTAGTAGGTTTGTTTTCTGGGTTCACTATTGCAGCAAGCTGTGCCAGAGCAGCCCCTGAAGAAGGGAAGCAAGCCATTTCCAAAATTGCCAAATTCAAACTGCAAGCCTTTCCCAAAAGAAACAATCCCTTATTAAACCCTTATTAAAGAACAGCTTTCCCACAATTTTCCAAGGCCCTGGACCAGTAGAGGCCCCATTTCACTTTAGTAGGTTTGTTTGCCTGGGTTCAACTATTGCAGCAAGCTGTGCAAGAGCAGCCCCTGGAAAACCAGAGGGGAAGCAAAGCCTTTTCCAAAATTGCCAAAATTCAAACTCCAAGCCTTTCCCAAAGGAGCCAATCCCTGTATTAAACCCTTATTAAAGAAAAAGCTTTTCCACCAATTTTCCAAGCCCTGCGACCAGGGGAGAGGCTCCATTCACTTTAGTAGGTTTGTTTGTTTGCGGGTTTTGTTTTCACTATTGCAGAAACTCTGTTGCCCGGCAGCCCCTGGAAGCCCAGAGGAAGCAAGCCTTTTCCAAAGGCAATTTGCCAAATTCAAACTGCAAGCCTTTCCCAAAAGAACCAATCCCTTATTAAACCCTTATTAAAGAACAGCTTCCCCACAATTTTCCAAGGCCCTGGACCAGTAGAGGCTCCATTTCACTTTAGTAGGTTTGTTTGCTGGGTTCACTATTGCAGCAAGCTGTGCCAGAGCAGCCCCTGCAGAAGGGAAGCAAGCCATTTCCAAAATTGCCAAATTCAAACTGCAAGCCTTTCCCAAAAGAACCAATCCCTTATTAAACCCTTATTAAAATTTTCCAAGGCCCTGGACCAGTAGAGGCCCCATTTCACTTTAGTAGGTTTGTTTGCTGGGCTCACTATTGCAGCAAGCTGTGCCAGAGCAGCCCCTGCAGAAGGGAAGCAAGCCATTTCCAAAATTGCCAAATTCAAACTGCAAGCCTTTCCCAAAAGAACCAATCCCGTATTAAACCCTTATTAAAGAACAGCTTTTCCACAATTTTCCAAGGCCGTGGACCAGTAGAGGCCCCATTTCACTTTAGTAGGTTTGTTTGCTGGGTTCACTATTGCAGCAAGCTGTGCCAGAGCAGCCCCTGGAAGCCCAGAAGGGAAGCAAGCCATTTCCAAAATTGCCAAATTCAAACTCCAAGCCTTTCCCAAGAGAACCAATCCCTTATTAAACCCTTATTAAAGAATGTGTAATTACAAGTACTAATTACAAGTACTAATTACAAGTACTACATGTACTACATGTACTACAAGTACTACAAGTACTACAAGTACTACAAGTACTATAAGTACTACAAGTACTACAAGTACTACAAGTACTACAAGTACAAGTACTACAAGTACTGCATGTACTACAAGTACTACAAGTACTACATGTACTACAAGTACTACATGTACTACAAGTACTACAAGTACTACATGTACTACAAGTACTACAAGTACTACATGTACTACAAGTACTACAAGTACTACAAGTACTACAAGTACTACATGTACTACAAGTACTACATGTAATACAAGTACTACAAGTACTACAAGTTACTACAAGTTATACAAGTTACTGGCAAGTTACTACAAGTAATCACACTTGTACTACAAGTACTACATTGTACTACAAAGTACTCACATGTACTACAAGTACTACATGTACTACAAGTACTACAAGTACTACAAGTACTACAAGTACTACAAGTACTACAAGTACTACAAGTACTACAAGTACTACATGTACTACAAGTACTACAAGTACTACAAATACCACAACTTCATCGGCAAAAAAAAACAATAGTAATTAGATTTCAATTGTAGCCAATTGAAATCCTTACTTAATTGAGGATATGTTTTTCTTTTGGGAAGAAAATTTTTGACTTTCTACTTTAAAGAGAGTCCAGAAATAGTTTAGGGGAGGGGGGGGGGCCACACACTAATCAGGACGCAACATTAGTTAGGTTAGTTAACCAGAGGGTAGATAGTATAGCATCCACTCCCTTCACCACCACAGGCTGAGGCTTATTGGAACTCTCCCCACCTGCTCGGGTGGTTTATGCATCCGAGGATAGTCCAGACTGTGTCCCACAACATAGCCTGAATGCCCAAAAGCTACCAGGGGAGGTCCCTCCCAAAGGTTGCTAAAACGGGAAATGAACCAACCAAGAATGTCAGGCCCGGATCGGATGCACCCAGTCTAAATGGGGGGACTCATCAAAAATTGTGATGTGTCAATTTTTCCTTTATAAATGGTATTCCCCATGAGTAAACTATATAGGGGTTTATGAGTCCTGCGTTGATATTAGGGGCAACAGCAAGCCAAAATAGGTCTGAAGGGAAGTCATGTTCCCGAATGAGAAATCGAGAAATCGGCCCATTTCTGGGCAAAGTCAGAAATGCTTGGTGGTTAAAAAACCAATCCACAAAAATATGCGAAATCATCTCAACCAACCATCCCTCATGTATGGTTGAACAGTAATAAATATTTGACACCAAGAAAATATCTATATTTTTCCTGGGGTGGTGTTAGCATAGTCAAATAGTACTTTTTGTTTCTTTGAAGTTGTGATCTTGAACCCAAAAAAATCGGCCATAATCACATGATTTATAGCGATTATCCATATAATCCATTATCAATGTAATCCCAAAACCCAAAAGCCTATGACCCATGACAATTTTTCAATTCGTGGGATATTACTGTTTACTATAACAATCCATCAATAATAATGGATCATAATGAATGGTATCATATCTTGATAGGATGACAAGTCATTTGACCCAATGTGGGAGGAACCATCAACCGAGTATGATGTAATAAGGAAGACCTGGTCACCCAGCAGCAGGAATTATCAGTCACTGTTGTTACAAGAATCCGTTCCCATTTCTGGTGCCCATCAATCTGAATTGCAACCAGTTTAATTATGAATTGTTCAATCATAATTTGCTCAATCAATGTGTTAATACATGTTATTTAATATTATGAAATTATGAATGAACAATTCATAATTAGTTCAAATGATTTGGTAAATCAGCTGGTCAATACAAGATGATTTGCTGAACATCATAATGTGACCAATATTTTTTGTAAGGCTGTACTTAAGCAAATCACCTCACAGCATATGGGGGTCCGTAGCCCCCCTCCCGTGTGAGGTCCTGAGCGCTCAGGACCTTGTACCACCTCGAGGTGACTATCTTAACTACAGATGAAAAAAAATCCAACTAGGGGTTACAAGGTCAAACGGCCTACCCCAATCTACGCTGGGGTGAAGAGGTACAAGGTCCTGAGCGCTCAGGACCTGACAGGGGATGGGGGTTGGTGGCCCCCCTCCTGTACAAGGTGATTTGCTTAAGTACAGGTGGAAAATTAAAAATATTCAGGATGGGAATTCACTGCGAATTCATTCGGTTTCCTTTTCAGTAGTAGG